GGACAGACCACATTCTGCTTGCCCATTCATCCATCGATCGACACTTGGGTTGTGTCCACCTTTTGGCCATTATGACTAGTGCTGTTACGAACGCGCACATACAAGTATTTGCTTGATTACCTGTTTTAATTCTTTTGGGTATTTATCCAGGAGGGAAATGGCCGGGTCATATGGTAATTCTAGGTTTAACTTTTTGAGGAGAAAATGTTTTAAGTTCTCCAGATGATTCAGTGGGAAGCTAGTGCTGAGGATCACTAATGGAGAAGGTAGATGGCCAGAGGACACGTGCCAGAGAAAGACGCGGGGTGGGAATACAACAGGGCCAAGGGCAAACCCTGGAAGTACAGCATTTCAAAGGTGCTGTGAAAGAGCCCATGGGGGGGACACATAACTAGGGAGAAGAGGGGGGGTGTCATGGAAACAGAATCCAAGGGGAGCCCTGGATATCAGAGGCTGAGGACGAATCCAGAAAGGAATTGAGAGGCTGTGCATATGGCAAGATGGAGGTCTTCCTGGAGAAGGTCTGATTTCAAGGAGGAGGGGCGTGCACGAGAGGCAAGGGCTACAGACACACATTCATCATTCACACTTAAGGCAAAGACCAGTCTTGTCTCTGTTCTCCTACGATGCCCAGGAACGGCAAATATCAAGCCTAAAATAAAGATCTTACTGGACGAAGCAGTTTACACCTCAACAAATAACACCCCTGCCAGACAACAGTAAACTGCCGTCCACATTGACCGGTAACTGTTCCGCTGACCACATGATGACTTTTTGAGGATTTTAACCACATGTAAAATACTCGGGAATAGCAATGTGTAATTAGCAAAAGAGTGTGATTCCAATCTCGGCAAAATCTTTAACAAATTCTTATACTTCCCCTCTTTCTGCTGCCTGAAGTATTGTTTTAGTTTAAAAGTATTTATCCATTTTCACACAACCTTTGCCAGTCTCTGAATCAATACAGCTGGGAGACAGTGCATCACGATTTCACTGAAAAATTATTTTCTGAAAAAAAAAAAAACTACTTTGTTATTGGAGAAAAGGGTAACTTTTATAACGATTGCATTTTAAAGATGAAAAGTGTGAAAAGGTGGACCTTATATTTGAAGTCACATATTAAATTTAAGTTTAAATTCTCAATGAATAGAAAGCATATCTGAAAAGTGAGTGCTTTAAAAAAAAAAAAAAAAGTCTGTGGGTTTTTTTTTCCTTTTCCTTAATCTGAAGTATGAGAGCAGCCAAGAAACGTCTCCTGAAGGTAAAATAGTGCACCATCCTGGACTCCTTTTCTCAATTAGTGTTTCTATTTTGTAGACAGTAACCGTATTTAATTTGAAATTTCCTCTTTCAGTGCCAATTCCAGTTTGAACGCCTTCCTGTGGAGCCGTTAGGGGTACAGCGTGATGTGACACACAAAGCCCTCTGAGCGCAGTCACAGTCAGAAGGGGAAAAAGATGTTTTTCTTTGGTATCAAGCACCTGGCAAGCAGAGCGCATACTCCCATAGAGCCTGGAAGGCATTCCTGGCTCTCCCCTGAGAATCCAAATGGACTCGTTCTGATTTCCCTCTGAAAAACCATGAAGTTAGAGCACGTGTGCTATGATTTACAGTTTACCAGATTTTCCGCATCTCTTGCTGTTTCTGGTGTGGTGTGTCTCTGCTCACCGCCACAGCGCGGTGATGGCTCCCTAATATGGCAACTGCTGGGGACCATTGACTTTCTCACCGTGACCTCAGGCTCTACGTGAGACAGTGACCACCTCGGGTGGTGACACTTGCTAGACACCAGGTGCTGCCTACCCAGCCACTTAACAACGTAGACCCAAAGGGGGAAATTGTGAGAAAGTCCTTCCCCATCATTCTTTCTAGCCTTCTTGCCCTGTGTATGTCCCTCATCTAAACCTCCCCAGTGGAATCCAGGAAAGAAAGCGCAGTGCCAACTGCTCAGAAAAGTGGGCTTGTTAGATAACGACACCAAAACACAAGGGACAGAAGAGAAAACGCTTCATGAAAATTAACATCTTTTGTGCTACAAACAGTACCACTGAGAAAATGAAAAGACAGCCTACAGAAGGAGAAAAAATATTTGTAAATTATATATCTGATAAATACTTTATCCAGAGTACATAAAGAACTCTTACAACTCAATAATAAAGGAGACAAATAATCCCATTAAAAAAATGTGCAAACGGCTTGAATAGACATTTCTCCAAACAAGATATATAAATGGCCAATAAGCATATGAAAAGATGCTCAGTATCATCAACCATCAGGGAAGCACCAATCAAAACCACAATGACAGACTTCCCTGATGGCGCAGTGGATAAGACTCCACACTCCCAATGCAGGGGGCCCGGGTTCGATCCCTGTTCAGGGAACTAGATCCCACATGCATGCTGCAGCTAAGGAGCTGGTGAGCTGCAACTAGAGAGCCCGCCTGCCGCAACTAAGACCCGGCGCAACCAAAAAAATAGTAAAAAATAAAAAAATAAAAAAAAACCCACAATGAGGAATCGCCTCACACCTACTAGGATACCCAATCAAAAGATGGATAATAACAAGCGTTAGCCTACATGTGGAGAAACTGGAACCTTCACACACTGCTAGTGAGAATATAAAACGGGGCAGTCACTTTGGAAGCCAGTCAGACGGTTCCTCCAAAGGTTAAATATACAGCTACTTCCTGACCCAACACTTTCCCTCCTGGGTGTGTACCCAAGAGAAATAAACACATAAATCCATACAAAACCTTGTACATGAATCTTCATAGCAGCATTACTCATAATAGTCAAAAAGTATCAACAGGGCTTTCCTGGTGGCGCAGCGGTTGAGAGTCTGCCTGCCGATGCAGGGACGCGGGTTCGTGCCCCGGTCTGGGAGGATCCCACATGCTGCGGAGCGGCTGGGCCCGTGAGCCATGGCCGCTGAGCCCGCGCGTCCGGAGCCTGTGCTCCGCGGCGGGGGAGGCCACAGCAGTGAGAGGCCCGCGTACCGCAAAAAAAAAAAACAAAAACAAAACAAAAAGTAAAAAATAAAAAATAAAAATAAATTAAAAAGGGAGGGGACCACCATAAAACCAGGAAGCACGGTCTTTCATTTCCAGATGCTCTGATCATCCCTCACTGTCTCAGGTCCCTCAGAGCTGTACTGAGCGTCCTGACTTCCAGGCAAAATGGGCTTCTCATCCATTGTTTCAAGCACATTTGAATCTGTTCCTCGCCCCCATGGTCCTCAGATGTCCTACAGCCACAGGCACAAAAGCAACATTTCTCTCCAGCACGGAGGCTCCACCAGCCTCCAGCGCTCCCTGACCTTCGGCGGCAGGTTCCGAATTAAGAAAAGGGATCAGGACAGCAAAAAAAAAAAAAAAAAAAAGACAGGGAATATCATTATGTGAAGACAGACGGTCAGGGCTCTGGGGGGAGGTGTACTCGTGGGGACAGTGAGAACAGATTCTTTGGTCTCGTACAGAAACCAGTAGCGGGAGGGGGCAAGGCTGGGGAGACCTGGGAGAGAAGAACTTCCTGATGGCAGGGCAGTGGGGCCCTCAGACTGGCTGGGCATCCCCAGCGGGCAGGGTCCCGCGGTCTGGGCAGAGAGGCGTGGCATCACCAGGGCCTTCGGGTAAGGCAGAAATGGCAAGGCCACTTGTCAATGTGACAACGGTTATTCTAACTGGACCAGGCTCAAACCCACAGGAGGCGTTCCTCAGAGACTAAAACAGCAAGGAAGTTCAAAGCATCTTGATAACAGGCTTCTGAGAAAGTATCAAAGGAAACAATGTATGAAAAGTGTATAACCGTAAAATGTAAGAACAGGCAGCAATGAAATGATTAATCCAGCAATATGCATTGAGCATTTAACAACCACATACTAGGCGCAGCCTGAACACAGTGCTTTCAGAAACGGGAAGCTCCCCTCTCACCTTTCAAGTTGTTTGCTGCAAAACTGGGGTGGTGCCACTCATCTTTATTTAGTTTATTCTCTTTATATCGTGCTTTGCTTTATTGCACTTCACCAGATACTGTGTTTTTTACAAATTGAAAGCTTGTGGCAGCCCTGAGCTGAGCAAATCTACTGGTGCTCTTTTTTCCAACAGCATCTGTTCACTTTGTATCTCTGTGACTCTGTGTCACTTTTTGGTAATTCTTAAAATATTTCAAACCCTGGACAGCAAAAATGACCGTCGCTGAAGGCTCAGGTGATGGTTAGCATATTTTTAGCAATAAGATATTTCTGATTTATTTGTACATTTTTTAGACACAATGTTACTGCACACTTAACAGACTACAGTATAGTGTAAAAATAACTTATACACACACTGAGAAACCAAAAAATTCCCCTGACCTGTGTTATTGCAATATTCGCTTTATTGTGGTGGTCTAGAAACAAACCTATAGTATCTCCCAGGTCTGCCTATAATTTGCCTGACTTTCAAATCTCTATCAAAACTGGACCTTGTATAGCCAGTAGTCAATGGGTTGTTAACAATCCCACCCTAAAAACCCTTCCCAGATTTCGAGAAAAGCCAGCAGGGGCATCTGGTTAGATCTTAAAACAAAAATTGTCACAGCACGGTCCGCAGCCAAAGCTCCTTGTGGACTGAAAAGAAGCACCGACTGTCCTTCAGGAAAGAGGCATCCAAATCCCACAAGACTTGGAAGTTGAGAGCATCCATCCGGAACCAAGGAACCAAGTCCTTGGGACCCTTCTAACAGCCCACGAGCTTGAGGCCGAGTGTTTCATTTTACCTATGTGAATATGACCAGAGACCCTGGCTTTGATCACTCTGATCTGCTCAGAAGTCAATAAACAAAACAAAAACGCAAAAACCACTAACCGCCTTGTGCGCAATCTGTGAGTGGACAGTTGAATGTGTATTATTGTTTTGCTTTTTGTTTTTTCCCCAAAGCTTATTCCCGTGAATGGTTCTTTCACGTAAACCCAGGACTCAGGCAAGTCAGAATATGAGTCTCGGGCAGCCTCCGTGAGCCTACCTGCAGCATATGACCGCTTTGCACGAGAGGGCCAAGTCCAGGAAGCTTCTCCTGACCTCGAAGGACAGCGCGTACTTCAGGGTGTGCCCGTCGATGATGAGGGCCGCGTCGTTCTCCTTGCCCAGAAGACTCCCAAGGTCAGCGCAGTGCTGAGTAATGGCTGCCCGCGTGGCCTGAAACAAGGGTGGTGGGGGGGCGGACGTGTCACATTTTAATAAATCAAAAACAGAAGCTTTTAAAAAGCAGAAAGAAAGGCCCAGAAATCCAAAGTACGTTCCTTAAAATGAAAACATGCCCATTCTAATGTAAAACATACAGAGCTCAACTTGGCATATTTACACATTAAAATGACACTGGCCTGCCCTCTAGGTCTGTGCTATGGGTGAAAACATCCCCATCGTGAAATTTTTTTTTTAAGCTTTTTTTTTTGATCTGTACAATTTTTAAAGTCTTTATTGAATTTGTTACAATATTGCTCCTGTTTTATGTTTTGATTTTTTTGGCCCCAAGGCATGCAGGACCTCAGCTCCCCAAAGAACCTGCACCCCCTGCATTCGAAGGCCAAGTCTTAACCACTGGACTGCTAGGGAATATCACATAGTGACATTTACATTTGATATTTACAATAACCTACTCTGGTTGCCGTCTATCCAAATTCTTCTCCATTGGAACTTTCATTGCTTAGGTTCTGATGACTGTCTTTCTCTCCCCTCCTTTACACTACATACATATTATTCTTGGTGTCCCTAGAACAGGAAACTCCATAAAAACAAATACATTTTTTGGGAAAAGGTAACATTGCTGGAGCTTAAATGCCAAGCATCTCTCAGTTCACACAAGGTCACCTTTAAAGCATCCAAAAGATATTAGAGGATATAAAAATAACACAAAAGATGAATTTCCATTCTCTGCTGAGATCTGCATTTCTCTCCATGTATCATCAGAGTAAGAAACGAACTGATAATTTTTTCATGTTACAAAAAATATCCAATAAGTTAAACTGCCAATACGTTTTAAAACATTGCTACCAACCTAAATAAGTGCTTTGGTGGGATGTCTACGATCAGATGGAATTAAAGCATAGAACCACTTTTGAGATTTAAAAACAAGGACGTTCTGATCTTCCAACGGAATCTGTGATTACGAATAGGATATCTAGTTCAAATATAATATATAAAAGACAATTTTTGGTTCATGATAAAAAGCCTGCTTAAGTTAATCAGGGAAGCACGTAGGTCAGCTGAAATTATTCCGTCTGGACAACTGTCCTTCGGCTATTAAGTTATATTTACATCTATCATCTGGTAACATAAATTACAATTAAGAAATATGTGGGGGCTTCCCTGGTGGCGCAGTGGTTGAGAGTCCGCCTGCCGAGGCAGGGGACGCGGGTTCGTGCCCCGGTCCGGGAGGATCCCACATGCCGCGGAGCGGTTGGGCCCGTGGGCCATGGCCGCTGGGCCTGTGCGTCCGGAGCCTGTGCTCCGCAGCGGGAGAGGCCACAGCAGTGAGAGAGGCCCGCGTACCGCAAAAAAAAAAAAAAAAAAAAGAAATATGTGGAATGAACAGGGATTCTTCCAGCCCTCGTTAAACTGAGGATCAGCTGCCATCACAAAGTGAGAAGCAGAATATACTATCTTACTGCCCAGTTACCCTTTAAACAAGAGACTTTGACAATATTAAAAAGATGCACCTAAGGCACAGTTGCGGTGCTATGGTTAGGTGGCCTGGGGTCTGGTCCCAACTCTCCACTTACTACCCCTGTGACCTTGGGCAAAATACAGGACCTCTTTAAACAGCAGTTTTCTCGAGTGTAAAACAGAGCTAAGGATACTCACTTCGAATACTCACTTCATAGCACTTTTCTTATGAAAAGTGAGCTACTGGGAGTTATCTACTTGGCATATAATAAGCATCCAATAAAACCCATTCCTCTTCCTGTTACTATTTATTCATGAAGAACTTCCTACACCAGGGAAAACACACATCTCTGCCACTTCAGACAGTGAATAAATGCCCTAAGCGACAATGCCTGCTTTGTCAATGCAATAATAGAGGAATTGATAAAACAATGCTCTAAGAGAAAAAGTTAAATTGACTTTTACTAAAAATAAAGGACACTTTATACTTCTTACCCTTGGTTAGTTGCGTAATCCCGAATCTCAAACAAAACATCTATATTTACTTTATCTGTGCAAACAGCCTGCCCTTTAGAGTTTGGGTAGAGAAGAAAATTCCACCCACTTAGGGAAACCCCGGCTTGGCAGCCTGCGGGTGTCACCGGGGGAATCAGACAGGTCCGGGCAACTCTGGAGGCGTGCCTGCCGGGGTCCAAGCACAGCAGACAGAAAACCCTCCTGGGAAACGTCTCGCCAAAGCAATCAGGCTGGTTTGCAGATTTGGTCCACGGACAGCAAGCCGGCACCGTGGCAGAGGCTCAGACCAGCCCAGGGTCCTTCGAGGAAGAGGCTGAGGGCACGAGTCCCTGAGGTGCGCAGACCCCGCCTACGGCTCTTCTTTATGGGGACACAGCACCAGTGGAGCTACGCAGAGACAGTGATATTATGAAGGGTACTTTCTCTCTCTACTTGAGATTATTTCTGGAATGTGCATGAGGACAGACCGGACACTGACAGTTCTTCTTCCTGGGGGAGGTCCAAGTATTGGTGGTTGACCACCTATCACTGTGGGAGGCTCGGGCATGATGCGGAGGGGTGCCACCAGAAAAAGCCTGAGCAAAGGGAATATGATGGGAGAAACATGCTGAGAAAACTATGTTCCTGATGTTACCAAGGCTGTTGCCCCAGAATCATACCCCTGCCCTTCCCGGGAATGGAAACCAATAGCTCTTATCTAAGTTTCAGGAGGAAGCTGCATAGAAAAAAACAAGAACTGGTTAGAAACATCTAGGCCCAAGATGGTGGAAGACTTGACTTCCAGTGGACTTTGAGCCTCACTGTACACTCGTTAGCTGCTAAATGACACACCCACCAGTGCCAGGACAGTTGACAGTTGCCATGACAACAAGCAGAAAAACCCAAACGACGACTGAAAAGGAGTATTAGATCAGTTCCGGGTCCAAACACATCCCTATTCCCGGATAACCCCTGAATATTCCTGCTCCTCTTTCCAAATCCCTCCCTTCACTCTGACCCTCCTATATGTTTGGTGTATGTGTCAGCTTCTCAACCCGGTTGGCCGCTTCTCCATTCTTTGGCCGTCCGGTAAAGCTTGCGCTGTCCCAGTGTCAGCACAAGTCTTGTTACTGGCTGTGCGATCCCTTTTCCTCCCTCCACCCCTCAACCCTAGTTTCCCCCTCCGGCCACATGAAGACACAGCATGAAGACAAACCAGGAAGAGAACCCTCATCAGGCCCTGGATCTGCCGGCACCTTGATCCCGGGCTTTCAGCCTTCACAACCATGAGGAGTGAATTCCCGGTGTTTAGGCCACCCAGACCACGGTACTTTTGTTACAGCAGCCCGAGCTGACTAAGACGAAAGGTCACTCCTGGAACTCACTGGCGATGCAGCTCTTCTTGGCAGAGCGGATATAGAGATGAAAGGACCACGTGGGTACAGTCAGTGCGCAAGCAACAAGCTGTCACGTTTACTGCCTGGAGTAAGGTTTCTACTTTAACGTCGTAACTGCAGGGACAGCATACACAACACGGGAGACAAGGCTGTGAATGCATGGCGGGGTTGGGAGTGGCAGGTGGTCAGGGCAAGGCCTCTAGGAGCAGGCGATGCCCATGGGAGTAATGACCCCTTGGCGGTGCTGAACTGCACCCTGTAGAAACATGGCGGCCAAGCTGTCCACTTGCAGGGAGAACACCAAACATTCCTAAATCACGCAACACCGATAAAAGAGATTTCACATTTATATTCCATTGATCGGGCACGTTCTCACACGCTGGTAAAGAGTACAGTACATTAATAAATGGGTTCAAATGAACAATTACATGAGTCAAACCCATTACCGTCAACCAACCAAGACGTAGTTACTGAAGTTCCTACTATGCTCTATGGTATCTACCCCCATAAGCCCTACAATACAATCAGGGTGGCAAATACACACACAAAAGAATGAACTAATCAAAACCTAACATTCTCCTGATGGGCAGATTGTAGACCTCACCAGGATCATACCCTTGCCTGGTGTGGCTCATTTTTGTGTTTAGCTGGAATTATACTAAATTTTAAATTCTAAGAAGGCAGAAACTCCTTTTGCCAAAATCTCTGATCACGAGAGCACAGAGCAGGTGCGCCATAAATGTGCTGACTCCCTAAATTAACTGATGTGTCTAAGCTAAGCCTTCACCGTAATACCTTTAAGAGATTATTTACTGGTCTTCGAGGCATCTGTTTGTCTGACCTTCTTGTGGGCTATCCAGCCTTCCTGGTATATTTTTACGTTACATCTTCCTTAAAAACCATCGGTCCTTGATTCTTCTGATTCAATGTATCCTGGACTCTTTGCCTTCAATGTCCTCGAGGCCTAACCTTCCCCCTTACCTGAACCATCCTGTTCTCCCGGCACTTCATCTGCTCAGAATCACACCTGTGCCTTTGAGACTGAAAACCTTTCCTACCACTAAACTCCCTCCAGATTCATCCTTCCAACTCTACCCTTGTCTCCAGCCTCTACTCTGGTCTTTAATTCCTACGTTTTCAATGCCCACTCAGCAATAATCTTTGATCAAACCCAGACTAGCTCGGCCCACCACACGTGTGTGGCAGAATATAGGTCCCTTCTGTGCAATTCTCGAGCAAGCCAATCGGAGGTGTTAATATCACAAACAGTTCCTTATTCTCAAATGGACCATGGTTCAAAAGTCTATTTGTGAGTTCGTTATTGGGCACTTAGACTCTATTTTCCCAAAGGAACGACGTTGCAAAGGGTGGCTGGATCCCAGGGCCTGTTAATGCCTATTTAGCCTAGTTGCTAAAATTTATACTGCAGTCTCTGATTTTAATAAAACACCGACTATGGAAGTTACAAGGGACTTGGCTGTTAGCGGGGGCATAGGGAGCTGGGGCTGGGGCTTCATTTCCTGAAAGTTACGAAACATCCCGGAATTCTTCATTAGAATTTGCCTTTTAGGCGTTATTATGAAAAAATATATTTCCAGCTTAGCATAGATGTTCTTCCATTTTGTTTTCCTTCACAATTGA